GCGATTGGGGGGGGGGAACGTGCAGATCTGTCCTCGCAGAGGAGGGAGAGCTTGTACCTGAATAAAACGTAGTCTTAAACGTGCCACTGGACTGTTTTGGACCGGGGGGCCAGGGGGAGCTCTGCAGCTTACCTGGCTGCTTCTTGCTCTGACTGAGGGCTGCTGGGAGCAGGGGGTGGGGCTTGTTGCATGTGCCCACCCCCTGGGCTCTTTACTGCCGGAGCTCCGCTCCTGTGTGCTCCTGCAGGAAATGACCCCTGATATCGACAGTTCCTTAACCAGCCCTATGATACAACTGTCAACATTACAGCGGTGCTACAGGGAAGTTTTCTGGGAAGCAGCAGCAAACAACGTGGGGCCCCACATTTGAAAAAACAGTCCAGCAGTAGGGATGCCAGCCTCCAGGGGGGACCTGGGGATCCCCTGGAATTACAGCTCATCTCCAAACTACAGAGATCAGTTTCCCTGGAGAACATGGATGCTTTGGAGGGTGGACTCCCGGGCACTGCACCCCACTGAGGCCCCTGTCCTCCCCAGGTTTCATCACCAAATTTTCAGTTTCCCAATTGAGATCTGGCAACCTTAGCCCCCATTGCCCACAGGTGGCCCGGGGGGACCTGCAGACCCTACCTGCAAGGTCCTGCTGTCCCGAAGGTAAGTGTTGTAATTGCACACCTTCAGCAATTAAACTAGAGTCTGTCAGCCTGTCAATAGCTAATATAAAAAGATGGCATGACGAGGTCTTAAGATCCGAACCTGGAAAATCTGCCTTTTCCTTCCTACCTTTAAATATGTTTAATAACATCTGTCTGATGAAGAGCTCGGGTGAACCGGAAAGGTAGCACTGTGTTTTGAGTGAGCCAGTTTGGTGTAGTGGTTAAGTGCGCGGACTCTGGGTTTGATTCCCCACTCCTCCACTTGCACCTGGCTGGATGGCCTTGGGCAAGCTGTAGTTCTGATAAGAGCTGTTCTTGAAAAACAGCCGTTTCTGTCAAGAGCTCTCTCAGCCCCACCTACCTCACAGGGTGTCTGTTGTGGGGAGGGGAAGGGAAAGGAATTTGTAAGCCGCTCTGAGACACCTTTGGGTAGTGAAGGGTGGGGTATAAATCCAGTCTCTTCTTCTTTTGTGTCATTCTTTGACTCGCAGCCAGCATTTAGTATATCAGATGCCTAGTTTTAGTATGCTCCTGGTCCCGAGGTTTAGCTAAGCTTCGCTGTGCATTTGTGCACATCTCAAGGCCAGCGGATTAAAGTTCAGCCTGCATCTGCTTTGATAACTCGTAAGTAAAGCCAAATCTCTCATGTCAGTTCTTTGGGAACTTCTGCGAACCTATGGAGCCCCTGGCAA